AAGCGACGTGCTCTGTGCTGCCGAGCTCACATCTGCCTTCTGGGGCCTGTTGTTTTTGCAGTTACTAAATCAGTTTGAAAACACTGGGCCGCCGCCAGCAGACAAAGAGAAGATCCAGGCGCTCCCCACCGTACAGATCGCGCAGGAACACGTAGGTGCGTGTGTCTCCTCCAGGGAGTCGCTCACAAGGAGCTCTGCGAACGCTCTGTTTAACGTTTTCTGGGGACTGTGTCCGCTAGTGCCTTCAAGGCCTGCAGCGTTTCAAAGGGGGCAGAAAGCTGGTGTGTTGCTCCGTTACACTCGCACAAAGGAAGAGCCGCGTAGGCTGGATGGCTTTGCCCTGGGGAGGCAAACGGGTCTGAGAAGTTCAGCGTGGACAGAGATGAAAGAGCAGGAGGGGAGGGAACAGAGAAGCGAGCGCAGGGCAGCGAGGGGCGGAGGGACGGCGGCAGGAACTGCAGAGCAACAGGTTTCCCCCGCAGGGACGGAGCCGCAGGGGGGGAAGGGAGCAGGTGACGGGATCCCGCGTCGGGTGCTCTCGGTGTCGTTGTGTCCTTCGCCGCTCAGCTGTGGTTTGCGTTCCCTTGGCGATAGATTCTGGGCTGGAGTGTCCGGTGTGTAAAGAAGACTATACAGTGGGTGAAAATGTCCGGCAGTTACCTTGCAATCACCTCTTCCACAACAGCTGTATAGTCCCTTGGCTGGAACAGGTCAGTGCCCTCTGAGTCAGGGCTTGGGGTTTGTAGCACTTGGGTGTTTTTTCTGTTCTCCTCCGTAAATGTTGTCCTACCTCCGTGATGAGGCCTAAGGACGAGCAGCCTTTGGTCAGAGGAAGGAGCGCCATCCTGGCCCTTTCCTCGAGTGCTGCTCCTGTGTCGTGGTTCTAATCCTGTTTCCCGTATTTCTTGTTTTGTTTCTGTCTGCTCCCCAAAGCACGACACGTGTCCCGTGTGCCGGAAAAGCTTGAGTGGACAAAACACTGCCACAAACCCCCCAGGACTCACGGGGATGAACTTCTCGTCATCCTCCTCCTCCTCTTCCTCCAGCTCACCCAGTAACGAAAACTCATCGAACAACTCATGAATCTTAATCCACCCCTCTGTCCCCGGGGCCCTCTCCATTGTCCTCCCTCCCTCCCCAGCCAACGCGAGCAACGAAAGGGGCTTCCAGAGCAGAGCGAGGGGAGGGTGGCAGGGGGGAAGCAGCGCCCCCCGAATTCCCTTTTGAGTTCTGAAGACGCGGAGACTCTGGGTCCTTCAGAGATGAGAAGCCTCGAGTTCTGTGATGGGGGCGAGAGCTCCGTCTGTCAGTAAAAACACCCGTTTGCCGCGTGGACTTGTACCCGTTGCAGTGAGAGGCTGCTGCGCCCCGCAGGAGACCGAGGTGCTGGGCTGGCGGTCGCCATTCCCGATGGAAAGGTTGTTTGTATGGTTTTGAATTTGCGATTCCTTTCTTTACTTCTTTTGCTCCTCCTCCTCCCCTTGGATACTGTCTCTTCTGCTTTGGAGATTGAAGTCTTTAAAATGATACTGCCTCCCTCCCAGGATCTCCCGCTGGGGAGGGCCGATAGTTGTCGCTGAAAACATGAACTCTCCAATAGACCCCACTGCCCTTCCCTTCCCCACCTCGAGTCCCGTTTATTTTTCTTTGTAACCTCGCCCTTCTGACGCTCAACACTGAAAGGGTTTTTATAATTTTAAATTATTACTGCTGTTAAATAAACGGACGTTTCAGCTCAACGAGACGTTATGCATGATTTGAGGAGAGCGACCGGGCGAGCTCTGCGGAGGCTGCTGCGCGGAGCCATCCCGGTTCGCGCCAGGGCAGGCCGGGCTCCTCCGAGCGCAGGCCTGCTG